TAAATTAATTTTTTATCATTTTTTATATATTAATTATAAAAAAAATACATTTATTATACTCTTATTCTATATCATGATGGTACAAGATAGAAAATTTCAAAAATAAAATAAAGAGTTTCTTTCCTTCTTTTCTTCTGAATCTTTAAATAACCAAATTAAAAAAATTTCTGCTCATCATCCGCCCAATTCCCCTCAGCGCAAGACATATGAGCAGTCCACAAATTAACGGATATGAGAAAATTTTGGGCGGAATTCAAGGCAACAAATGGGGCTAGACTGAAGCCGTCCTTGAGAACTGATTTAGATTTTATTGGAGAAACATGGAAACAGCTAGGGGTGGCAATTTCCCTCGATTACCGCAGGGCCTCGCGGGGATTCCCATCATAGGGTCGAGGAGGGAATGGGGAGAATTTTCTCCCTGTAAAATTTCGTGGAGAATTTTCCCCGCCTCATGGGGCCTTACGGGGATCCCCATCCTCACGAAAAATTTAAAAAATGTATATTTTGAATTTAATTTAACCTTTAAAATAAAACCTAAACCCAATTCAATAAAAATTAAATTTTACCCAACCCAACGCAACCCATCATCCTCTTTCCAACCCTAATTTCCTAACCTTATTGTTTCCCTTTCTCCTCACTTACGTAGCAGTGCAACCATAGCCCTCACTTTAGTCCCTCACTCACTCTCCGTCTCGATCAGACAATCAAACTCTCACCTCACGTTCGACCTTTCCCTCCCCTTCTTGCTTCTATAATTTCTCGTCACTCACTCTCATGGTCTCACCTTCAATTTTTCTTTTTTGTTGATTTAATTATTTATGTTAAATTAATTTTTATTTATGCTTGATGCAAAAAATATATACTTTGGTATTAATTGACAGGAAATGGGGATCACTACGAGTCACTACGAGGAACGGGAATAAGAGGCAAAATTTACCCCCTGTCACAAAGCCCCGTGGGAATCTCCATTCCTGCCATTCACAGGGACAAGGATGGGGACAAGGACGGGGAGAGACTCCTTCACCCCACGCGGCCCCATTAACATCCCTAGAAACAGTCCGGTTTTTAAGGTTCAAAATACTAAAAAGCAGTAATTGATGGAGAGAACGACAAGGCATTGCTTTCTTTAATAGTTTATATTATTTAATTTGATATAATTTACATTAATAATATTTTAAAATATATATTATTTTATAATTTTTTAAAAAATATATATTAATTTTGATTTTTAAAAAAATTAGATATTTAATTTTAAATTATGTCATTTTATTAATTAAAATTTAATTTAAAATTTAAAAATTTATTTTATTAAATGTTGATATTTAAATTTAAAAATT